TAATTATTCATCAACATTCATCTACCAATTCTAACCAATTCATATCATTTAAACACATCAAAATCACCAAAATTCCATCAACGGGAACAAACCCTAAAAACAACCGAATATGGAGAAATCAAAACATACGATTACACAACTTAAATTCTACCATACCCTATCATTAGGAAAACCCTTATAGAGTTAGAATCCCCCCTTATCTTAGGTTCTTGGTTTATTCTGGATTCCTACGGATGAACTTCTTGCCCTAACTTCCTAGTGCTCTTTCTCCTCTTCTCTCTTCTACGCTTCTCTTTCTCTGTTTCTACGTACTGACTTATTCTCCCAATCTCACTTCTTATAATCTAATAATAATAATAATAATAACTATCCCAAATAAATAATTATTTAATTATTATTATTATAAAATAATAATAATTCTCCTAATAATAATATAATAATAATAATAATCCATATTATTCTACACACCCCTATGTTTCTACACAATAGCCAAACACTCCCATAACTTCAATTTCTATAATTCTAAGATATCTAGTCCCCAACAAGGTATTGTACCATATCATAATTCCACCAATTCATATAATATCATCGCATCGTCTTATTATTTAATTAAAAATAAATTTTAATTAAATCGGGGTGTTACACGATACAACTTGGTAGATTCAACAAGGTCCATAGAGAGATCACCCTGGGAATCATCAAGATTAATGACATTGTAATGGTCGTCAACCACCTTCTTATGAGTTTCAGGAGTAATCACAACACTAGCAGCCTTGGGAACTTCATTAGGAGGATTAGAGAGCCCATTAGAAGTGGAAGGAGAAACTTCTACAATCTTAGTGACATTATGACAAAGCTCTTCTTGACCCTGAATAACAACATGGAGAGTTTCGAGGAGTTGATTTATTTTGGCACCCATAGTATTCATGTCCCAATGGAGATCATTTTGATTATGTTAAAAGAGATCCATGAATCTCCGCTTGATTACTTCTGGTATGGCACAAATATAGGGAAGTCATTGTTGTTGATTCTGAACTCTGAATGGAAAGAAGGCCCCCAATAAGCTTCTGATATAAACAATGAAATGCATAATATAATAAATGCATGTTTCATCTTTCATTTCCAGGGAAACCCAAAGACTTGTCCACCCATAAGTATTTTTCTGACATTATTTATCTTTTGAAAAGCTTAACAAAGGAGACTCGTCTTTGGAATTCCCGGAAAATGGGATGTGCACAGGTAATATTATGATGATATGGTATGTAATGACATGGGATCAAGTCTACACAAAATTTGGGTAGCCATTGTACAACCCTCTAAATAGATATTATACAATCTTCTGGATAAATATTGTACAATCTTCTGAATAAGCTGAATGTCATAAGATCAAAGGTCCAAAACCATTTCAGAACACAAGAGAACCAAGTATCAAAGATCAACATCTGTACTTGTAAGAATGATTCCCACCCCACTCACGGGTCAAGACTAGGTCTGGGTAAAGTCACTAGTAACTCAGAATCCAAGGTTCACTTGAAAATACTATCATCGTATACCTCATTTGAGCATAGACGACATGACCGTACTAGGAAGATCTACATCCTCTAGATGTCATGTTCCACTATATTCCTATATGTTCCTAACAGCTTACAACTCTGGCCTGGGTATTGGGCCTTTTACCTCAATAGTAACACCGACCCAACAAAGAAACAGAGCCATCACAACAGTAATATATGGAAAGCGGTAAAATGCTATGCAAACATATGCACGAAAGCATGTAAATAAAGAAACAGTAAAGTAATAAAACAAAAAACACCCAAAGACAAGAAAACACATAAAATCTAGGACTGACTTGTATAGGATGGACCATCAATTGGTCAACCTGTCCCTAGCTGAGTCGCCAGCTTTCGCGTCGCAGAAAAATATAGAGTCGCCACCGAATTCTATTTATCCTGGAGGAAGGGAAGATATCGAGAGAACTCCAAAGAAATGGATAAGATGGTCTTGCGACCAAGAGAAAGGATACAGAAGTCGGTTACGTGAGGGGAATGTATTATCACCTCACATGTTTGTGGTACTCCACAAGATCCACTTAAGTTTTCTCTAATCTAAGGGTGTGTAAAAATCTATGTCTAAAGCTTAATTCAAAAAGGGAATGCATGCAAAAGAAAATACAGGGAAAAGAAGGAATGTTTACAAAGTTTTTCTCGCCTAGGCCCTGTGACCTAATGCCTACATATCCCTTTTGAGGAATCAGAGCGTCGTAGTTCGGCTCACATGTTTCAGTTTGTTGTATATTTTTTACCATAAAAAACAGTTTTAAAAGAAAAGCCAAACGATAAAATGAAGTTTGAATTGGTTGGTGTTTTTTACCTTGAAAAAGGGTTTTTGTATTATTAGAGTGTTTTACGAGTTAAAACAAAAAAAAGAAGTTTTAGTTTTAATGCAAATTCAAAAGAAAAAGAAAAAGGTCTAAGGGAAACTAGTAAATTAAGCCTAGAATTTTCATGCATGGTTTGCAACTTAAGGTCTATCTCAATTTGCTTCCTAAGTTTTAATAGAGAAATCCTACAGGAGCATGTAATCGCGCAATGGAAAGTAAACATACAAAGCTTAAGGAGTATCCACTCATTCAAGTAGCATACACCTAACCGAGGTACCGTGTCACCAAGGAAGGAAAGGGAGAGGGATCGCGCCTAACCATTATATCGTGTCATCGAGGTAGGACAAGGGAGAAGGGGCACCTAACCATGATCTCGAGTCATCAAGGTAGGATAAAGGGAGGCTTAACCAAGATATCGAATCATTGAGGCAAGCAAAAATGGGGAATAGGTAGTTCTTAACCATGATATTGCGTCATCGTGGCAAGAAGAGTAAAGGATATCGACTTTTAACCAAGATATCACGTTATCTAGACAAGAGAAGAACGAGAGTGAATCATCATAAGCGACTAAACACCTCACCAAGATATTGCATCATCGAGGTAGGAGATAGAAGACAATAATCAGATCACATTGGAGCATCAACATGCATGACATACGAGCTAATGGCAAAGTTTGGGGGTTGATTTGAACCCTTCTCCACTTGATCGACTCGATACAAGAATAGCACAATTCGTAGCATCAACATATGATGCAAGCTATGAATGACTCGTGGACTAGAAATTATGGGGGTCGATTGCATACCCTTTTCCACCTGCCTTCTTTGAGTACTTATCAATATGGAATGGGAATGGGACGCCTTCTTTGAGGTCTTTGGTAAAATTGTAAACATGCAGAATGGTAAATAAACACAAGTAGGAATTACCTTCTAAAGGTATTTTAAAACAACATTGTCCACCTAAAGTAGGGACTCCCAGTCATGCATCTCTAGTACTGCTTCTCATGGAAAAGAAAGCGATAAACAATGAGGAAATGAGGAATAAAATAAAGTCATAATGATACCTAACGGAGAAGTCCGTTGCCTCTTCAAAGCCACAGAAGCAAAGAGAAAACTCTATGAAAGCCTCCTTAAATTTCTTTGATGAAGATTAGGAGCTTAACTTGCTTTAAAACCTCTTGAAATTCTTCAACAATCATTATCCGATCAATCAAAAGTCAATAACAATGATTATACAAGAAAAATAAAATCAAGGCAGCCAGGAGGTGCAAGCTGGATCCAGGATATACTGCAAGCAAAAATCATAATGGCAATAAGTCCATCAAAATGAACCCATAAGCAGTTGTTTTTGCAGGTACAAGGTGTAACAAAAAACACACAAAATGGTCTTATGGAAATTCAGTTCAGCCCAAGCATTTACGAGCAATGTGATCCATTTCCTCAGCATATTATTTCAAAAATAAAAAGTAAAAATATTAAAAGGAAAAGAAACGATGTCGTTTGGTCCAAAGGAATAAGGTTTCAAGGTTTGTGGCTGTTGGACTTCACTAAAGCAGGATCTTCTCTCTTCATCTCTTCATGTAGCACTGTAAAACTATCTCTTCTTCCCTATCCAATTTTTCTCTAACACAACCTTCTGCTGTCGTGGAGTTCAACTGATTCCCACTTCGTCCCACTATCGCATCACTCTGATCAATTCATTCGTTTCTTCTCCGACTTTGTTCGTAATTTCATCCATAATATCTCATCTCTTCACGAATATATCATCTCTTCAACGATTCATCAGAACAACAAAGCACATTATATGCTGATGGAAGAGATTGGAAGGTGTTGCTTACCAGAGACGAGTCCGATGCTCCTTCAAGCACGACAAAGATGAAAAGGAATCCATAGAATCAGGTTCAAGTATGCGATTTATTTATCTCCGCTCTCTTCTTCGATTCACAATTCTTCTTCTTTATTCGATTTTTGTTTTTCCTGTGTATGTGTTGTGATGTAGATGAATTTGTTGACGAAGTGCGATACAATGATGTTGTTCTTGTGATAATGATGATTCAGAGAGTGCTGCGGTTGAACGGTTGAGATATGTTGAACATTGACGATGATGATGATGTGCGATGAAGCTCTGGATTAGAGATGGAAAAAGATGAAGGTATCGAGAGTGAAAAAAATGGTGGAGAAGGATGAAGAATGAAAGGTTGAGGGAGAATTGTAAATAATCAATTGAGGTTGAAGGTTTGTGATTGGAGTGAAGTGATGAAGATGAAGATTTTTTTTAGAGTGATACATGTGAGAATATGGGAAATGGTGAGAGAGAGACTTTGTTGGAGATCTAGGCTGAGAGTTTTGTGGTGATTTTGGTAATTCTCCCAGAGATTGAAGAATGAATCAGTCTCAAGTGAGTTTTCTGTTATATTCTGTTAGAGTTTGTTTTGATTTTGGATTTCAGTTAGGATGAGTTGGCAAGGGTGTGTGAGACTCACCTTCTGATTTAATTTTTTTTCTAATTTTCTGAGTTTCAAACTCATGATTCCTCCCTTTTTGGTTTTTTTAATTTTTTTGAGTATTGAATTGTGAAGTGGTTTTCTTCTGAAACTGATGCAGGGCGGTCCAGGTTTATTTGAATGGATTGGTTTCTTGTTTTTTTTTGGTGTTGCAGGGAGGTTTTAATTGGAGCAAGGTATCGGTTTTGGCAAGCATCTAAAACAAATATTAGGGACTATTTTAGGCAATTGGAAAGGTTTGGCATGAGGACAAATGTTGGAGCTTACCGAGTTTGTATATGCAGGGCATTAAACTTCTGTTTTAAATTTGGGTTAACTCCTCTTTCTCTAGTTTTCTATTTTTAATTTTGAAGATGAGATAGGGTTCTTTTTGAATTGGGTTTTCCTGGTTGTGTATGTAGGTTTTGAGTGAATTGGAAGCATGGTTATTTTGTGGAATTTGTGTACTGATTGATTCTTGAATGGAAGCAGAGCAAGTTGACGTTTGGAAGTTATGTGCAACAAGACTTCAACGTGGTAGAATTTAGGCATAGACTCAAGTGTGTACCTTCGTAAAGCTTCTACGTAATGTTGTAGTATGGATTTGTAATGGTTTCTTTTGTGAATTTAGGCATAGACACTAATGAATGGACTTGCAACGAGAACTTATCGAATGTAATAAATAGTCGAATAAATTTGCCATCCAATTTGCACTTAAATTCCAATTTTTCTCTTAATTTTGTCATATGAAATGAACCATGATGACAAATGACTTGAACTCCAAATATGGAGGTATTTGATTTGAACTAGAAAGTGGTAGCCATGATGAATGATAATGAATTAGAATGGAGTTTGCATCGATATTAGGATGACACTTGAATTAAGACTTAAATAAGTCTTGTTATTTGTTTCCAAATGAACAAATCTCCTTACATTAAAAAAACATGAATCTTTATGACAAGTTTGAGTCAACATAATCACTGGAATAAACTTTGTTCCACATTATCTTCTTTCAAATGATTTCCATGCCTTATCTTTTCTCGTATACAAGCCTTGATCCACTCCTTTGAATCCTTAAGAAGAAGTCCATATGCTCATGACTGGCAAAGCAAGTAATTAGAATAAACCCCTTGGATGGAGATCAAACTTGAAAAGATGTTCAAGATAGCCATGAGATTAAACCTTAAGCACAATATATGAAAACCTTGACCATTTGACAAGCGTATAGAAAGAAACCGTAATTCATGAATTTGGTGGATCCTGATGAAGAATAGCCTTTAAAGAAGAGATTCTTGGCAACCACACTTTCAAAACCCTAATTTCACAGCTCAGATGCTTGAAGGAAAGCCTGGTAAATCAGGCTTCGTTGGATGTATATACCTCAAATCACTTCTAAAATACTAGCTTGTACGCCAATTGAACTTTTCAACCTTAGACACTTTATTGAAAGAAAATGCATGATATGTTAGTGTAGATGACCTAATGAAAAGATACTAATGCAACGCTAAGCCTAAGCCAGATGATCCTTATAGAGGGGTAAGACAAATTTGGGGTATGACAACTTCCCCTATTTAATAGTCTTAAACTTGAAAAAAAATAAGAAAAGATTATTAAAAGAAATAAGATCGATGAAAGTGCAATGATCTATGTAAGATCCACAAGACATAAGGAAATATAGAGGGTAAGATCAATGACAGCGCAATGATTTATGTTAGATCCACAAGTAATAAGGAAAGACAGAAGGTAAGATTGATGACAACGGAGTATCTGTCATGTATGATATGAAATCCACAAATAAAAGACAAAGGGTGAGATCGATGATAATGGAGTATCTATCATGTAGGATCTGGCAACCCGAAAGAAATAACAAAGGGTGAGATCAATGACAACGGAGTATCTATCATGTAGGATCTGACAACCCAAAAGAAAAGGCAAAGGGTGAGATTGATGACATCAGAGTATCTATCATGTAGGATCTGGCAACCAGAAAGAAATGACAAAGGGTGAGATCAATGACAACGGAGTATCTGTCATGTAGGATCTGGCAACCCGAAAGAAAAGAGGGCGCAAAAAGAATGACTGACATCAGTACTGAGACTGGGGAAAGAGATGATTGACATCAGTATTGAGACTGGGTAAAGAAATAGATCGACATCACTACTGAAACTGGGAAGGAAATGATTGACATCAATACTGAGACTGGATAAAGAAATAGATTGGCGTCAGTACTAAGACTGGAGAATGAAAAAGGGTTGACATCAGTATTGAGATTGAAGAACAAAAGAATTGGCATCATTATTGAGACCGGGAAAGAAATAGATTAACATTAAGATCCTCTATCATAATATCATCATAATGCATCAAGATCACACATTAGGGTTGGTTCTCCTTGTTCCCCTATCTTTAAGTTTGTTCTCAAGGAATCACCAAGTACCTTACTTGTGTATCTTGTATATATGTGTTGATGTTTTTTTACTGACCTCTAATCAAAATACCAAAGATATTTGCTTTTGTTTTTGTATATTTGCATTTGGTAGGTATAAAGCCACAACATCCAATCAAAAGAGATTTTTGGCATTTTTCTTCTACAGAAATCAGTTTCCCCATATCAAGAAACTGGTTTCTCTCACTGTACGAAATTTTGAAAAAAGAGAGCATTTTCAAGTTTTCAGCATTTGTCTCCAATTTCCTCTTTTTTTTAAAGAATATTATTGATTACAAAAAAATATATCCCCTACCTGATAATAATTAAATTCCATCATACACCCTCATTTGATTACATGTGCACCACTTGATTCAATTTTTGGCTAAAAAAATCAATTACCAAGCCTAATTTTGGTTCCTAACCAAACTCCAAACCACCACTAATCCCAAGCCTAAATTATATAAATAGATCCCTAGTTTCATTCAATTCTCAAGCTTTTGATATCCAAAATCACATTTGTGATACGGTGGGAGAACTGACTTGGGCGTTTTGCGTCTTATCGCAAATGTTGCGGTTAGCAAGAGTCACCATCGACTTTTCTTTTATCCAAAAGGAAAGGCTAAAAAGAACAGGAAAAACCTTTGAGATTGTTTCTTGAGTTCGGGGGGGGGGGGGGGGGGGGATTATGAAAAGGGAAGGTCTTAGCACCCTTTTTATCCATCGTTATCTATGGGCTCTTAGTTGCTTGCTAGATCACTTGCTTTTGTTTGAAAATGTGCTTTGTGTGGTTTTTGAAAAGGCGCCATCGTTTAGGAAAACTTTGTAATAGTTCTCGTTCGTAAGAACGTATACAAAGTGTTGATCTTTTGAAAACGTTTCAAGTTTGGAAAATGTTTTGAAAGTGTTTTTGAAAGTGTTGGTGTTTGTTTTGAAGATAGCAAGGATGTTTGATTTGAAAATGAGCAAGCAACTAGGAACAATCTACATACTCAAAATTCTTAGTTCATTTCTTCTTTCCTTTTAATATTGCTATCTTAACATATATTTGGTAATATGCCTTATCTTTGGATGTTTATCTTTTGATGTAAAGGGACGGGCGCGGGTCATCGTATAGCCATGACAAAAATGTTGTGAAATATCTTAGCAATTCTCTTTGAGGGACTAAGATTATTTTTGAAAGGCAACATTTGATAGCGTTATCGAGGTACTATGAAATTGTATTTTGATAACTTTTTGCTAAGATATCTGTTGTACCCTAAAATTTTCCCTCTTATTTTACTAAAAACATACTCCTAGAGGTCCTCAACTTGCCCAAGGATGCCTAAGGATTGACCAAACAAATCATCCTCCTAAGACAATGAGCCTCAAACTAGAGTTTCACTCCTCATCAAGATGTTTGAGTTCCAAGGGTCCCAAATGATTTCCATTGCCCTAATATGTTCTCAAGATCATCCATGCCAAGTTTCATGCCTTGCACAAGAAGTTTGCTCAGTCAACTGCTCAAATGCCTAAAAATCAACTATACTAGGTCAAAAGTCAATTGTGACCCTCATGCAGTCAAACTTCAAGATTTGTGATCAACATCAATATTTTGAAGTAAAATTCATCATTTTATCAAGGGTTGATCATGATTCCTCAAGGAATGCGCCAAATTCATCAAAACTCAAAAGTTGCTAAATTAGGGTTTCTATAAGAAAAGTCAACCAAACTTTGACCAGGCATAACTTTCTCATATTTTATCAGAAATTTCCCATCCAAGGCTCATTTTGAAGATGATTCAATTACCTAAAACTCATCTTCAACCCTCAAGTTCAACAAATACACTCATGAAAAGATATAAATTCAGACATTATAGGTCATTTCAAAAAGTCCACAAAAACACCTTTTGGGTCAAAGCTTCTTACATGAACATGAAAGATCCAATTGAGATGAAATTAAAAGGGTTATTAAGCTAACATCTTAAGCTTTCTAAAAAGACCAATAACACCCTCTTAGGATTAAAATTGAGGGAGATATGTATTGTCAAAGTTCACCAATTTTTGGAAATCTGCATGAAGTCAACATTGATCAAAATGACTTTTTTTTTTCTAAATGGGCCCAAGTTTTCTTGTTTGAAACTTGTTCCTAAGATGGCCCACGACCCCTGATCTTATCCACCTATTATTTTATTATTTTTATTATTTATTTTGATTTATTATCCATTTAAATCAAAATAAATAAATTTAAATAGTAGAATAATCAAATAAAATCAAAGATTGATTTTATGAGCATATTATGAGTCCATGAACAGCTAGCAAATCAAAAAATTCGTGCAAGAGCCAATTGATTGGAAAAGATCTTAATTTGGTCTATTTTGGAAACAAATCATACAAGAAAAAGAATGAAATCAAATCTCCATAATTTGAAAAGATATGATTAGTTTTTATTGACCTAATTCATTCCAATATAAGGACATAACATTCTCAAGGCAAAAAAAGAAGGTTTGCAGTTGTGAAAACAGAGAAAGAAAACTCAAATTTTGGCAAAAAAGTGGTGGATCGTTTTCTCACATAGAGGGTGATTCAAGACATTCCAAGGCTTCCAATCGCTTCCTGGACATCTCCTGAAACTAGCAGGATACATTGCAAGCTTTCCCAAGCCCAGAATTGCACCTGATAAACTCACGGTTTGCACATATAAGCTTGACTTTGATTTTACAATTTACGTATGATTAACTACTTTTAAGCATATCATTGTATTTGTATCATCATTTGGAATGTTTTGGTTTATTTAATTTTGCGTTTTGATGCATATCTTGATAATTGCCATGACTAGGGTTTAAGAAGCCGTTTTAGGGCTTCTCTGTACAAGTGAAATTAGGTCAAGAAAAGGATGCCATGATGCTCGTGGGATCAAGACGAATTGATCCATGTACTCACTTTTAATTTATCATGCGTTGTGT